CCAGAAACACGCTGCAAAGGTAGGGCTAACGCTGAACCCCTTACAATCAAACAAGAACAAATGCGGTAGGGCTACGCTGAAACCCCCTTACATCAAACCAGAAACAAGATGCAGTAGGGCTGAACCCCCTTACATCACACTAGACAAGAATGCAGGTAGGCTGGAACCCCCTACTCAAACCGAACAAGAAATGCAGGTAGGGCTACGCTGAACCCCCTAAATCAAACAGAACAAAGATCAGGTAGGCTGAACCCCCTTACTCAACAGAACAAGATGCAGGTAGGCCTGACCCCCTTACCATCAAACAGAAAAGATGCAAGGGTAGGGCTACGCTGACCCCCTTACATCACCAGAACAAGATGCAGGTAGGGCTTACGCTGAACCACCCCTTACATCAAACAGAACAAGAAAATGCAGGTAGGGCTATGCTGGACCCCCCTTACATCACACAGAACAAGATGCATTAAGTGCTACGCTGAAACCCCCTACCTCAAACAGAACAAGAATGCAGGTTTAGGCTGAACCCCCTTACATCAAACAGAACAAGATGCAGGTAGGGCTGACCCCCTAAACATCAAACAGAACAAGAATGGCAGGGTAGGGCTACCGCTGAACCCCCCTTACATCAAACATAACAATATGCAGTAGGCTGAACCCCCTTAACATTCAAACAGAACAATATGGGCCGGTAGGGCTACCGCTGAACCCCCCTTTTACATCACACCGAACAATGCAGGTAGGGCTTAACGCTGAACCCCCTTACATCAAAACAGAAACAGATGCAGGTAGGCCCTGAACACCCAACCCCCTGACACATCAACAGAACCAGGATGCAGGTAGGGCTACGCTTAACCCCCTTTTACATCACACAGAACAAGGATGCGGTAGCGCTACGCTGAACCCCCCTTACATCAAACAAGAAAGTGCAGTTTAGGGCTAACGCTGAAACCCCCTTACAATCAAACTAGACAAGATGCAGGTAGGGGGCTAAAACGCTGAACCCCTTACGCAAACATCAACAAGATGCAGGTAGGGCTAAAACGCCTAACCCCCTTACCATCAAACAAACACGATGCAGTAGGCTCGCTGAACCCCCCTTACAATCAAACAGAACAAGAGTGCAGTTAGGCTGCCCCCTTACCTCAAAAACAAGATGCCGGTATGTGAACCCCCTTACATCAAACAGAACAAAGAATGCAAGGTAGGCTTGAACCCCCTTACATCAAACAAACAAGATGCAGGTAGGGCTACGCTGAACCACCCCAACCCCCCTTACATCAACAGAACAAGACTGCAGGTTGGCTACGCTTGAACCCCCTTACATCAAACATGACCACGATCAGTAGGCTGACCCCCTTACATCAAAACAAACAGATGCAGGTAGCCTGAACCCCCTTACATCAACATAACAAGAATGCAGGTAAGGCCTGTAAACCCCCTACATCACACAGAACAAATATGTCAGGTAAGGCTCGCTGAACCCCCTTACATCAACAGAACAAGATGCAAGGTGGCCCTGAACCCCCTTACATCAACATACAAGAAAATGGCAGGTAAGGGCTACGCTGACCCCCTTACTCAAACAGAACAAGATTCGGTAGGGCTACTCTGAACCCCCCTTACAAAAAATCAAACAGAACCAGATGCAGGTAGGGCCTACCTGAACCCCCTTACACAAACAGAACAAGATGCAGGTATGCTTAAACCCCCTTACATCAAACCGAACAAGATCCAGGTAGGCTTGAACCCCCTTACCTCAACAGAACAAGATCATGTTTAGGGCTATGCTTGAAACCCCCTTACATCAAACAGAACAAGAAATCAGGAGGCTACGCTGACCCCCCTTACATCAAACAGACACAATGAGGCAGGTTAGGGCTAACGCTAACCCCCTTTACATTCACCCAGAAGCAAGATGCAGTGGGCTTAAAACGCTGATCCCCCTTCACATCAAACAGAACAAGATGCAGGTAGGTTTAGCTGAACCCCCTTAACATCAAAAGAAACCAGATGGCATGTAGGCCGGAACCCCTTACATTCAAACAGACCAAGATGCAGGTTAGGGCTACGCTGACCCCCTTTACATCAAACAGAAACAAGACTTGCAGGGTAGGGCTACGCTGAACCCCCCCTTACATCACACAAAACAAGATCAGGTAGGGCTATGCCTTTGAACCCCCCTTTACAATCAAACAGACCAAGATGCAGGTAGGCTGACCCCCTTACAATCAACAGAACAAGATGCAGGTAGAGGCTATGCTGACCCCCTTACATCACAGAAACAAGATGCAGTTTAGGGCTACGCTGACCAACCCCCTTACAATCAACAGAACAAGATGCAGGTAGGGCTGAAAACCCCCTTGACATCAAACAGAACAAGATGCAGTCATGGCTACGCTGAACCCCTTACATCAAACATACAAGAATGCAGGTAGGGCTAACGCTGACCCCTTACAATCCACAGAACAGATGCCCAGGTCTGCTGAACCCCCCTTACATCAACAGAACAAGATGCAGGTAGGGCTAAACGCGAACCCCCTTACCACTCAACAGAACAAGATGCAGGTGAGGCTGAACCCCCTTTAACATCAACATAACAATATCAGGTAGGGGCTACGCTGAACCCCCTTTACAACTCAAACCGAACCAGATGCAGGTAGGCCTGAAACCCCCTTACATCAACAGAACACGAAATGCAGGTAGGCTTTAACCCCCTTACTCAAACAGAACAGAATGCAGGTAGGCTATGCTGAACCCCCTTACATCAACCCCAACAAGATCAGGTAGCTGAACCCCCTACTCAAACAGAACAAGAATGCAGGTAGGGCCTGAACCCCCATCTACATCAAACAGACAAGAATGCATGTAGGGCCTACGCTGCACCCAACCCCCCTTAACATCCAACGAACAAGATGCAGGTAGGCTGAAACCCCCCTTACACAATCAACCAGAAACAAGATCAGGTAGGGCTATCAAAACGCTGAACCCCCTTACATCAAACAGAACAGATGCGGGAGGGCTAACGCTGAACCCCCTTACCAACAATTCAAACCGAACAGATTGCAGTTAGGGGCTGAACCCCCCTTACCTCCAACATAACAAAAGATGCATGTAGGGCTACGCTGAACCCCCTTACATCAACAGAACAGAATGCCAGGTAGGGCTAAACGCTGAACCCCCTTACATCCAAACAGACAAGATGCGGTAGGGCTATACATAACGCTGAAACCCCCCTTACTCAAACAGAACACGAATGGGCAGGTAGGGCTGCAACGCTGACCCCCCCTTACCTCAAACAGAACAAGAATTCAGGTAGGCTGAACCCCCTTCATCAAACATAACAAGATGCAGGTAGGGCTACGCTGAAACCCCTTACATAAACAGAACGATGCAGGTAGGGCTACGCTGAAACCCCCTTAACATCAAACAGAACAAGATTGCCGGTAGCTGAACACCCTTACCTATCAAACCGAACAAGAATGCAGTAGTGCTACGCTGACCCCCTACTCAAACAGACAAGATGCAGGTAGGGCTAACGCTGAACCCCTACATCAACAGAACAAGATGCCAGGTATGGCTAAACGCTGAACCCCCTTATCAACCGAAACAAGAAGCAGTAGGGCTACGCTGAACCCCCCTTACATCAAACCAGACAAGGAGCCAGGTAGGCTACGCTGAACCCCCTTCATCAACGAACAAGAGCCAATGTAGGCCTGAACCCCCTTACATCAAACAGAACAGATGCAGGTTAATGGCTAACGCGAACCCCCCTTACCTCAAAAACAGAAACAAGATGCAGGTAGGCCCGAACCCCCTTTAATCAAACAGAACAAGATGCAGTCGGCTACGCTGAACCCCCACATCAACAGAACAAGATGCAGGTAGGGCTACGCGGAACCCCTTACTCAAACAGAACAGATGCAGGTAAGGGCTAACGCTGAAACCCCCCTTACATCACACAGACAGAAATGCAGGTCAGGGCTTACGCTGAACCCCCCTTACAATCAAACAAGACAATTGCAGGTAAGGGCTATTAACGCCTTGGAACCCCCCGTTCATCAAACAGAAACAATATGCAGGTAGGGCTACGCTGAACCCCGTACATCAAACAGAACAAGATGCCGGTAGGGCTACGCTGAACCCCTTTACACATCACACAGACACCATATGCAGGTAGGGCTTAACGCTGACCCCTTACATCAACAGAACAGAGGCAGGTAGGGGCCGGTATGGTACGCTTTGAACCCCCTTTACATCAAACAGACAAGATGCAGGTAGGCTACGCTGAACCCCTACATCAAACAGAACAAGAATCAGGTAGCTGACCCCTTTACCTCAAACAGAACAGATGCAGGTAGGGCTAACCTGAAACCCCCTTACATCCAACAGACCAAGATTCAGGTAAAGGCGAACCCCCTTACATCAAACAGAACAATATGCAAGGAGGGGGCTAACGCGACCCCCTTTACAACCTCAAAACAGAACATATGCAGGTAGGGCTACGCTGAACCCCCTTACATCAACATAACAAAAAGAAATGCCAGGTGGGGCTACGCTGAACACACCCCCTCCATCAAACAGAACAAGATGCAGGTAGGTGCTAAACTAAACGCTGACCCCCTTACATCAAACAGAACAAGAATGCGGTAGGGCTAACGCTGAAAACCCCCCCTTACATCAAACAGAAACAATATGCAGGTAGGGCTAACCGCTGAACCCCCCCTTACATTCAAACAGAACCAAGATGCAGGTTTAGGGCTAAACGGGCCTGAACCCCCTCAACATCAACAGAACCGGGGGAACAAAAAAAAAATGCAGGTAGGCTAACCGCTGAAACCCCCTACCATCAAACAGAACAAGTATGGTCAGGTAGGCTTAAACCCCTTACATCAACAAGTGGTGTGTGCTAATATTAAAATGACAATAATCAATAAGGTAAGGAAGTGAATGATTACATGTATTGCTGATTTAATTGGTGTGGTTGTTTTCCCTACTAAACTTGATTGATTGATTTTAAGGTGCTGGTTGAGTTGGTGAATGATGAGAACGTGGCGATGGTTCTGGACGAGCTGAAGAGGAATACTGTAACTGACTCACAAACGGAGGACTCACAGACGGCTTAGCAACGCTATAAGAATAGGTCCACACCCACACACCACCGTAACGACGTCAACTACGGAGACCCTCACAGACTGCTAAAAACGCTAATAGGTACCCACACCACACCACAGTACCTGACGTCAACAACGGAAGACCTCACCGACTGCCTATCACCCGCTATAGTTACACACACACACAACCACAGTCACGTGACTTCCACACGGATCACAAGCTGATATCAACGCTATAGGTACACACACACACACACCACAGTACTGACGTCAACACGGAGACCTCACAGACTGCTATCAACGCTATAGGTACACACACACACACACCACAGTACTGACGTCAACACGGAGACCTCACAGACTGCTATCAACGCTATAGGTACACACACACACACCACAGTACTGACGTCAACACGGAGACCTCACAGACTGCTATCAACGCTATAGGTACACACACACACACACCACAGTAGGTTGAGCAACACCTAACTAGAACTGCATCACGCTAATAGGTACCATCACACACATGCAAGTGATATGACGGGCAACGGAGACCTCATGACTGCTATCCAACTGCTTATTAGGTCATGTAACACCACCCAGGGGTATGGAGGAGTCACACGGAACCTCCATCTGCGTGTATTGAGAGCGCTATGTAATGGTACACACCACCCGTCTATTAGTAGACGTCAAACACTGGGAGACCTCACAGATGCCTCACGCGGTATAGGTAACCACACCCTCCACAGGTGGTTGGAGGAGGGGCCTTAATCTAGGGTTGGGAGGAGGGGCTCATGGTAATGGCTTTCTCTCTGCAGTGGTAATTGGGGAGTAGGGGCTCATGGTATGGCTCTCTCTCTGCAGGTGGTATTGGGGAGGAGGGGCTCATGGTAATGGCTCTCTCTCTGCAGGTGGTATTGGGGAGGAGGGGCTCATGGTAATGGCTCTCTCTCTGCAGGTGGTATTGGGAGGAGGGGCTCATGGTAATGGCTCTCTCTCTCTGCAGGTGGTATTGGGAGGAGCTACAGTGACAGGTGTCTGGCCATCCTCACTGGACTGCTGGGACTGAAGCAAGAACACATCACCTCTGGTACGTTTACATGTTAGTCATTTAGCAGACGCTCTTATCCAGAGCCACTTACAGGAGCAATTAGGGTTAAGTGCCTTGCTCAAGGACACATCGACAGATTTTTCACCTAGTCGGCTCGGGGATTACAAGCAGCAACCTTTCGGTTACTGGCACAACGCTCTTAACAACTAAGCTACCTGCTTAGTGGTACACACACACACACACACACACACACACACACACACACTATACAGTCGTGGTCAAAAGTTTTGAGAATGACACAAGTATAGGTCTTCACAAAGTTTGCTGCTTCAGTGTTATGAGATATTTTTGTCAGATGTTACTATGGTATACTGAAGTATAATTACAAGCATTCCATAAGTGTCAAAGGCTTTTATTGACAATTACATTAAGTTTATACAAAGCGTCAATATTTGCAGTGTTGACCCTTCTTTTTCAAGACCTCTGCAATCCGCCCTGGCATGCTGTCAATTAACTTCTGGGCCACATCCTGACTGATGGCAGCCCATTCTTGCATAATCAATGCTTGGAGTTTGTCAGAATTTGTGGGTTTTTGGTTGTCCACCCGCCTCTTGAGGTTCGACCACAAGTTCTCAATGGGATTAAGGTCTGGGGAGTTTCCTGGCCATGGTCCCAAAATGTCAATGTTTTGTTCCCCGAGCCACTTAGTTATCACTTTTGCCTTATGGCAAAGTGCTCCATCATGCTGGAAAAGGCATTGTTCGTCACCAAACTGTTCTTGGATGGTTGGGAGAAGTTGCTCTCGGAGGATGTGTTGGTACCATTCTTTATTCATGGCTGTGTTCTTAGGCAAAATTGTGAGTGAGCCCACTCCCTTGGCTGAGAAGCAACCCCACACATGAATGGTCTCAGGATGCTTTACTGTTGGCATGACACAGGACTGACGGTAGCGCTCACTTTGTCTTCCCCGGACAAGGTGTTTTTCCGGATGCCCCCAAACAATCAGAAAGGGGATTCATCAGATAAAATGACTTTACCCCAGTCCTCAGCAGTCCAATCCCTGTACCTTTTGCAGAATATCAGTCTGTCCCTGATGTTTTTCCTGGAGAGAAGTGGCTTCCTCGCTGCCCTTCTTGACACCAGGCCATCCTCCAAAAGTCTTTGCCTCACTGTGCGTGCAGATGCACTCACACCTGCCTGCTGCCATTCCTGAGCAAGTTCTGCACTGGTGGTGCCCCGATCCCGCAGCTGAATCAACTTTAGGAGAAGGTCCTGGCGCTTGCTGGACTTTCTTGGGCGCCCTGAAGCCTTCTTCACAACAACTGAACCTCTCTCCTTGAAGTTATTGATGATCCGATAAATGGTTGATTTAGGTGCAATCTTACTAGTCCCGTGTAGCTCATTTGGTAGAGCATGGCGTTTGCAACGCCAGGGTTGTGGGTTCGATTCCCACGGGGGGTCCAGTATGAAAATGTATGCACTCACTAACTGTAAGTCGCTCTGGATAAGCGCGTCTGTTAAATGACTAAAATGTTAAAAATGTTACTAGCAGCAATATCCTTGCCTGTGAAGCCCTTTTTGTGCAAAGCAATGATGACGGTACATGTTTCCTTGCAGGTAACCATGGTTAACAGAGGAAGAACAATGATTTCAAGCACCACCCTCCTTTTAAAGCTTCCAGTCTGTTATTCTAACTCAATCAGCATGACAGAGTGATCTCCAGCCTTGTCCTCGTCAACACTCTCACCTGTGTTAACGAGAGAATCACTGACATGATGGCAGCTGGTCCTTTTGTGACAGGGGTGAAATGCAGTGGACATTTATTATTGGGATTAAGTTCATTTTCATGGCAAAGAGGGACTTTGCAATTAATTGCAATTCATCTGATCACTCTTCATGACATTCTGGAGTATATGCAAATTACCATCATCAAAACTGAGGCAGCAGACTTTGTGAAAATTAGTATTTGTGTCATTCTCAAAACGTTTGACCACGACTGTACAAACAAACATTCACACACACACACACACACTATACAAACATACACACACACACACACACACACACACACCACACACTGTACAAACAAACATTCACACACACACACACAAGCCACAAATGAACTGTTCTGTACATTAATTTACTTTGAAAGGGTGTCAAGTAATCCCATAAGGGATGGGTCGCAAAGGGCCAATTGACACAAAATAACATGTAATTCATCCATTTATTAATGTATCTATTAATTCAGTAATTCTCTCCAGCGGTGCTCCAGACACTGAGGGACTTAGTGTGGGTGTGTCCTCAGTGTGGAGACGCAGTGTGTTCAGCTCTGGAAGGATGGGACGACAAGCTGCAGGACAGTCAGGTAGGTGTCTGTCTGCCTGTCCTCTCTGTCCTGTCTGTCCTGTCTGCCTGCCTGTCCTGTCTGCCTGTCTGTCCTGCCTGTCCTGTCTGTCTGCCTGTCCTCTCTGCCCTTCTGTCTGCCTGTCCTGTCCTGCCTGTCTGTGTGTGTCTCTGCCCTTCTGTCTGTCTGTCCTGTCTGCCTGTCTGTCCTGTCTGCCTGCCTGTCCTGTCTGCCTGTCTGTTAGGGTCGTGGGGCCTTGCTGTGGCTGCTTGGTGTATGGGGACAGGGTGGGTTAGGCTTAGGGGGAGTTGTAATGTATTGTGTCTGTGTGTTTTAGGGTCGTGTGGCCTTGCTGTGGCTGCTAGGTGTCTACGGCGACAGAGTGAGTGGCGCCCCCTATCTGCTGGAGGACTGTATAGACGGCGTGAGGAGTGAGGTGTCAGCGGAGGTCAAGACAGAGCTGCTCACTGCAACACTACGACTGTTCCTATCCAGACCTGCTGAGACTCAGGACATGATGGGGCGACTGTTGGCCTACTGCATAGGTACAGATCCACACTAGGGCTGGCCTACTGCATAGGTACAGATCCACACTAGGGCTGGTCTACTGCATAGGTACAGATCCACACTAGGGCTGGTCTACTGCATAGGTACAGATCCACACTAGGGCTGGTCTACTGCATAGGTACAGATCCACCTAGGGCTGGTCTACTGCATAGGTACAGATCCACACTAGGGCTGGTCTACTGCATAGGTACAGATCCACACTAGGGCTGGCCTACTGCATAGGTACAGATCCACACTAGGGCTGGTCTACTGCATAGGTACAGATCCACACTAGGGCTGGTCTACTGCATAGGTACAGATCCACACTAGGGCTGGTCTACTGCATAGGTACAGATCCACACTAGGGCTGGTCTACTGCATAGGTACAGATCCACACTAGGGCTGGTCTACTGCATAGGTACAGATCCACACTAGGGCTGGTCTACTGCATAGGTACAGATCCACACTAGGGGCTGGTCTACTGCATAGGTACAGATCCACACTAGGGCTGGCCTACTGCATAGGTACAGATCCACACTAGGGCTGGTCTACTGCATAGGTACAGATCCACACTAGGGCTGGTCACTGCATAGGTAGAGATCCACACTAGGGCTGGTCTACTGCATAGGTACAGATCCACACTAGGGCTGGTCTACTGCATAGGTACAGATCCACACTAGGGCTGGTCTACTGCATAGGTACAGATCCACACTAGGGCTGGCCTACTGCATAGGTACAGATCCACACTAGGGCTGGCCTACTGCATAGGTACAGATCCACACTAGGGCTGGCCTACTGCATAGGTAGAGTCCACACTAGGGCTGGTCTACTGCATAGGTACAGATCCACACTAGGGCTGGTCTACTGCATAGGTACAGATCCACACTAGGGCTGGTCTACTGCATAGGTACAGATCCACACTAGGGCTGGCCTACTGCATAGGTACAGATCCACACTAGGGCTGGTCTACTGCATAGGTAAAGATCCACACTAGGGCTTGGCCTAACCCTGGCATAGGTACAGATCCACACTAGGGCTGGCCTACTGAATAGGTACAGATCCACACTAGGGCTGTCTATGCAAGGTACAGATCCACACTAGGCTGGCCTACTGATAGGGACAGATCCACACTAGGGCTGGTGCTAAGCATAGGTAAGATCCACCAATAGGGGCGGCTTGCATAGGTACAGACCACATAGGGTGGTCTACTGCATTAGGTCCAGATCCCCACTAGGGCGGTCTACTGACTATAGGTACAGATCCACACTAGGGCTGTCTACTGCATAGGTACGATCCACCCATAGGGCGGGTCCGACTTGCATAGGTACAGATCCACACTAGGGTGCGTCTACTGCATAGGTACAGATCCACACTAGGCCTCGTCTACGGCATAGGTACAGATCCACACTAGGCTGGTCTACTGCATAGGTGACAGATCACACTAGGCGCGGTCTTACTGCATAGGACAGATCCACACTAGGGCTTGTCTACTGCAAAAGGTACAGCTCCACCACTAGGGTGCGTCTAGCATAGGTACAGATCCACACTAGGGCTGGCCTTACTGCTATTGAGGTTACAGTACACACTAGGGCTGGTCTACTGATAGGTACAGATCCACACTAGGGATTGGGTCTACTGCATAGTGTACGGATCCACACGAGGGATGTTACTGCATATGGTGATATCCACACTAGGGCGGTCTACATGCATAAGGTTACAGATCCAACTGGGCTGGTCTACTGCATATAGGACAGATCCACCAAGGCGGGTCTACTGAACTAGGTACAGATCCACACTAGGGCTGGTCTAATGCATAGGTACAGATCCACACTAGGGCGGTCTACTGCATAGGACAGATCCCACACTAGGGTGGTCTTTACTGCATATGTACCGATCACAAGGGCTGGTCTACTGCATATGGTACAGATCCACACTAGGGTGGCCTACTGACATAGGTAAAGATCCACACTAGGGATGGCTACTGCATAGGTAAGTCCACCTAGGGCTGGTCTACTGCATAGGTACAGATCCACACTAGGGCGGTCTACTGCATAGGTACAGATCCACACTAGGTGCCTACTGCATAGACTACAGATCCACACTAGGGCTGGTATATGCAATAGGTAGAGATCAACACTAGGGCTTGGTCTACTGCATAGTAGGAGATCCACACTTAGGGCTGGTCTACTGATTAGGTACAGATCCACACTAGGGCCGGTCTACTGCATAGGTACGATCCACACTAGGGCTGGTATACTGACATAGGTTACAGATCCACAATAGGGCTGGTCTACTGCATAGGTACAGATCCACACTAGGATGGTATATGCATAGGTACAGATCAACACTAGGGCTGGTCTTACTGCATAGGTACAGATCAAAAAATAGGATGGGGGACCGTGGTTTATGTGACTATATACGGTACTGATGAACGGACCGTTGGGTTTTTAATAAAATTTAAAGGTTGTAATGTTTGGTGTGTAAAGTGATAAACAGTGTGTGTAACGTCAATTTTATAAGTTTACACTAATGGAGTCATATATATATATCTATTATATATATCTATATCTCTATATATATATAGTATATATATTATATATAGTATATCGATATAGTCTGTATTATCTCTCTCGCGCGCTACTCTCTATCTCTCTCTCTGCTACTCGTCTCCTCTCTACTCTCTCTCGCTCTAGATATCGCTCTCTCTCTCTCTCTGTATATCTCTCTCTCCGCTCTCTGTCTCTCCTCACTCGCTCTCTCTCCGCTCTCTCTCTCGTCTTTCTCTCTACTCCGCTCTATATCTCTCTATCTTCTCTTCCGCCTCTCTCTCTCTCTGTCTCTCTCTATCTTTATGTAGTGTGTGGTTGTTCTCTTGATGTAGTGTTGTGTTTGTTCCTTATGTAGTGTTGTGGTGTCTATATTAGTAGGGGGTGTGTGTTCGCTCTCTTTATGGAGTGTTGTGGTGTTCTCGTATGTTGTTGTGGAGTCTTCTTTATGTAGTGTTGTGGTTGTCTTCTCTCTTTTATGTAAGGTGTTGTGGTGTCTCTCTCTCTTATGTAGGGGTTGTGTGTATCTCTATCTTTATGTAGTGTTGAGGTGTCTCTCTCTCTTATGTAGTGTGGTGGTCGATCTTTTGTAGTGTTGTGGTGTCTTTTATGTAGTGTGTGGTGTCTCGCTCTCTTTATGTAGTGTTGTGTGTCTCTCTTTATGTAGTGTGTGGGTCTCTCTTTATGTGTCGTTGTGGTGTCTCTTTATGTAGTGTTGTGGTGTCCTCTTTCTAAGTAGTGTTGTGGTGGTCTCTCTGTTATGTAGTGTTTGTGGTGTCCTCTCTTATGTAGTGTTGTGGTGTCTCTTCTTTATGTGTGTTGTGGTGTCTCTCTTTATGTAGTGTTGTGGTGTCTCTCTTTATGTAGTGTTGTGGTGTCTCTCTTCTTTATGTAGTGTTGTGGTGTCTCTCCTTTATGTAGTGTTGCTGGTGTCTCTCTTATGTATGTTTGTGGTGTCTCTCTCTTATGTAGTGTTGTGGTCGTCCTCTCTTATGTAGTGTTGTGGTGTCTCTCTTTATGTAGTGTTGTGGTTGTCTCTCTTATGTAGTGTTGTGGTGTTCTCTTTATGTAGTGTTGTGGTGTCTCTCTTTATGTAGTGTTTGTGGCGTCTCTCTTTATGTAGTGTGTGGTGTCTCTCTTATGTGTGTTGTGGGTCTCTCTCTTATGTAGGTTGCGGTGGTCTCTCTTTATGTAGTGTTGTTGTGCTCTCGTTATGGAGTGTTTGTGGCGTATCTTCTTATGTACAGTGTTGTGGGTGTCTCTCTTTATGTAGTGTTGTGGTTGTCATTTAGGTAGTGTGTGGTGTCTCTCTTTATGTAGGTGGGGTGTCTCTCTTTATGTAGTGTTGTGGAGTATCTCTATGTAGTGTTGTGGTGTCTTCTCTTTATGTAGTGTCCTCTTTATGTAGTGTGTGGTGTACTCTGTTTAGTGTTGTGGTGTCTATCTTATGTGGTTGTGGCGTCTCTCTCTTTATGTAGTGGGGTTATTTTGTCTCTCTTTAGTATGTGTGGGTCTCTCTGTATGTAGTGTTGTGGGGCTATATTTATGTAGTGGTTGTGGCGTCTTCTTATGTAGTGTTGTGGTCTCTTCTTATGTAGTGTGTGGTGTTATCTTTAGTAGTGTTGTTGTGTCTATTCTTTATGTAGTGTTGTGGTGTCCTCTATTGTAGTGTTGTTGGTTGTTCTCTTTACGTAGTGTTGTGGTGTTTCTCTTTATGTATGTGTTGTGTGTCTCTCTTTATGTAGTGTTGTGGGTGTTCTTCTTTTATGTAGTGTTGTGGTGTCTCTCTTTATTGTAGCTGTGTGGGTTCTCTATTAGGTAGGGTTGTGGTGTCTCTCTCTTATGTAGTTGTGGTGTATCTCTCTCTTTATGTAGTGTTGTGGTTCTCTCTCTCGTTATGTAGTGTGTGTGTCCTCTCTCTCTTTATGTAGTGTGTGGTGTCTCTCTCTCTTATGTAGTGTTGTGGTTGTCTCTCTTTATGTAGTGTTGTGGTGTCTCTCTTTTAGTAGTGTTGTGGCGTCCTATTTATGTAGTGTTGTGGTTGTCTCTCTTATGTAGTGTGTGGTGTCTATTCCTTTATGTAGTGTTGTGGTGTGTCTCTTATGTAGTGTGGTAAGCTTATCTCTTTATTGTAGTGTTGTGGTGTCTCTCTATATGTAATGTTGTGGTGTCTCTCTTTATGTAGTGTTGTGGGTGTCTCTCTTTATGTAGTGTTGTGGTTGTCTCTCTTGTCGTGATGTGTGTTTTGTCCTATATTTTAAAAATTTTATCCCCCGTCCCTGCAGGAGGCCTTTTGCCTTTTGGTAGGCCGTCATTGTAAATAAGAATGTGTTCTTAACTGACTTGCCTCGTTAAATAAAGGTTAATAAATAAAAAATCGGCAAACAGCTAGTTTGTCTTTTCTTAGCAAGTTGGGCCGACATCTTGTTAGCCGCTGATGCTAATCGCTAGCTACTGAGTCAGCGCAACGTAACTAGCTCTACAGCCTGATAATACCAGTGATGGGCCAGCCAAACTCAGCTGGCGGACCGCGGTCCGGGTCCGGACCCAGAGAAGGGTCAATTCGGACATCATCGCATTTTGTTCAATAAAAATCAATCCATTATTTTTAGACCGTATGTTACTATATACCGGTATTGATGCACGGACTGGTTTGGGTTTTTTAGACAGCTCTTTAACTCAGCAACCTCTCTTTCTCACTCTCTCTCTCGAAGCCACGCCCACCTCTACTAGTGCCCCGTCTTATCCAATCGCGTGGTTATATGCAAATACAAGAGGCCGCGTCTTACCCAATCTCATTACACATTAATCAAAATATCCTCCGCGGAACCTTGGGACAAGCAGAAAGAAACACAAAGATTTGGCCGCGGTTCAACTGTAAATATCACAGATAGAAGGAGCTTAGTTACCAGTATCTTTGTTAATATGGCTTGTTAAAACAAACACAAAAGTTGACTCTGAAAGCCGTATATTCAAAGACGAGTGGACGGAACAGTATTTATTCATTCTCCCCTCAACTAGCACCAAACCAATGTGCCTGATATGCAGTGAGTCGTATCTCTCCTGAAAGGTGCCCATGTTAAACACCATTATGACACCAGACATAGTAAACTGGATCAGACACGGAGGTGAGAACAAACTGGATTAACCAACTCAAATCCCAATATGAGAGGTCCACCCAAGTCCTTGTCAATTCCCTGACAGCCCAACAACCTGCAATGGAGTGTTCACTGAGGATAGCTTGGGTTTTGGGAAAACACCAAAAACAACATTTTCAGACGCTGAGATGGTAAAACAATGCATGTGTGAAGTTTGATACCACTGTCAGATTCCACATCAATTAACTTTTTGAGAGCAACATCATCCCTGCAACACCGCCTGCTACGAGGCATTCTGACTGAGGCCAATGCCAGCTATGATGACTTACTACAACAATGTCAGATGGCTCAGCAAAGGCAGGGTTTTGGAACGCTTTTGGGCCATTCAGGAGGAAATCAAAGCTTTCTTATCAGAACTCAGTTTTCTGAGTTTTTGGAAGATGAGGAGAAGATGGAAACTGTTGCATTTTTGACAGACATTCCATCACACCTTAATCAACTGAATGTTAAGCTGCAGGGACGGGACAACACAGTGTGAGATATGATAACGGCAGTCCGGGCTTTCCAGAAGACATTGGAGCTTTTCAAGAATGATCTCCAGGGAGAACTTGTCCCCAATCTTCTGGCCCAAACGCAGGGAGACAAAGATGTTCCCAACCAGGTTGGTTTCATCCAGGAGCTGCTGGAGAACTTCAAGGCTCGCTTTGATGACTTCACTGTTGGAGGAGAACTGCTGCTGCTCATCCAGAACCCCTTATTGGACACAAATGTGACAAAGTTGTCAGAAGAAGCAAAACGGATCTTCAGATGGGTAGATGTTGCATCACTGCAAATGGAGTTGATTGAGCTGCAAGAAAATGTGTCTTTGAAGGAGCCGGCTGGTGATTGGCTTTGAAGGAGCCGGTTGGTGATTGGCTCTGAAGGAGCAGGCTGGTGATTGGCTCTGAAGGAGCCGGCTGGTGATTGGCTCTGAAGGAGCCGGCTGGTGATTGGCTCTGAAGGAGCCGGCTGGTGATTGGCTCTGAAGGAGCCGGCTGGTGATCGTGACCCCGTCCCTTTCTGGGGAAAGATGGCGCCTGCAGCTGATGTCCCTGTTCAGGAAACTGGCGCTACACATCCAGACCATGTTTGGCTCCACAGACAGCTGGCGCTACACATCCAGACCATGTTTGGATCCACAGACAGCTGGCGCTACACATCCAGACCATGTTTGGATCCACAGACAGCTGGCGCTACACATCCAGACCATGTTTGGATCCACAGACAGCTGGCGCTACACATCCTGACCATGTTTGGATCCACAGACAGCTGGCGCTACACATCCTGACCATGTTTGGATCCACAGACAGCTGGCGCTACACATCCTGACCATGTTTGGATCCACAGACAGCTGGCGCTATACATCCTGACCATGTTTGGATCCACAGACAGCTGGCGCTACACATCCGGACCATGTTTGGATCCACAGACAGCTGTGAATCAGCCTTCTCCACAATGAACTTTATTAAAAACAAATACCGCACCAGGCTCACCAATGAACACCTGCACCAATGTCTCAGAGTTGCTCTCACACCATTTGTGGAAAGTTCAAAGCATTGGCAGGAGACAGAAAGTGTAATTTCTCTCATTAATGCAGGGAAAGGGCCAGAGGGACTTATACATGAATATTGTATGGCTCACAGTGATGTTCTGTGCATTCAGATCATTATTTTTGTTCAACTCTCCTTTGTTCTCCAGAAAACATGCACTTTATTTTATATATATATATATTTTTATTCAAGGCCCATGTACAGTGGTTCAGAGTGCACCTTTTGCATAGACAATTATGCAACCACTTTTTGTTCTTCTGCAATGTTGCACGCGTGTCGCCTTAGATCAGCATGTTGTTCAGGCAACAGTATCTTCTGAATCAGAGAGGAATAGGCGAAGCGTGAATATGTTCGCTACATGAAGTAGCTAAGAGAAAACATTTAATGTAGCCAAAGATTGTGTCCCCCTAGGAAACACTTAACCGTTTTGGTTCCTAACCTGTCACAATAACTCCCCCCTGGCATGTTCATTGGTTGTCATGTCAAACAGCGCTGTATTCAAAGTGTCCGCGATTATATTCTACCTCCATAATGCCATCAGTTCACTCAAGTGGTTTGCTCTAAATCGCAAGTCAAATCGCAATTGCAACATTTGGTCAAAATGGCCTATAAGTGTGGAAATTATCTCAAATGAGTGCAGGAAATGCTGATTTTTTGTTGTTGTTGTGGGGGGTTGAATAAAACAATGAGAATGTTTGTTGCCACCCTAGGGTCACGTACCATTCATAAAGCGAATGTATAACTTTTTTTATTCAAAAACATAAAATACCGTCTCACATTATATATATTTTTTAAATACCGTGATATATTTTGGCTTTATCGCACAGCCCTAGAACACACACACTACTGCATACGTACACACACTACTGCATACGTACACGCACTACTGCATACGCACACACACTACTGCATACGTACACACACTACTGCATACGTACACACACTACTGCATACGTACACACACTACTGCATACGCACACGCACTACTGCATACGCACACACACTACTGCATACGTACACACACTACTGCATACGTACACACACTACTGCATACGTACACACACTACTGCATACGTACACACACTACTGCATACGCACACACACTACTGCATACGTACACACACTACTGCATACGTACACGCACTACTGCATACGCACACACACTACTGCATACGTACACACACTACTGCATACGTACACACACTACTGCATACGTACACACACTACTGCATACGTACACACACTACTGCATACGTACACGCACTACTGCATACGTACACACACTACTGCATACGTACACACTACTGCATACGTACACACACTACTGCATACGTACACACACTACTGCATACGTACACACACTACTGCATACGTACACACACTACTGCATACGCACACACACTACTGCATACGCACACACACTACTGCATACGTACACACACTACTGCATACGTACACACACTACTGCATACGTACACGCACTACTGCATACGTACACACACTACTGCATACGTACACACACTACTGCATACGTACACGCACTACTGCATACGCACACACACTACTGCATACGTACACACACTACTGCATACGTACACACACTACTGCATACGTACACACACTACTGCATACGTACACACACTACTGCATACGTACACGCACTACTGCATACGTACACACACTACTGCATACGTACCACACTACTGCATACGTACACACACTACTGCATACGTACACACACTACTGCATACGTACACACACTACTGCATACGTACACACACTACTGCATACGCACACACACTACTGCATACGCACACACACTACTGCATACGCACACACACTACTGCACACACTACTGCATACGTACACGCACTACTGCATACGTACACACACTACTGCATACGTACACGCACTACTGCATACGTACACGCACTACTGCATACGCACACACACTACTGCATACGTACACACTACTGCATACGTACACACACTACTGCATACGTACACACACTACTGCATACGCACACACACTACTGCATACGCACACACACTACTGCATACGCACACACACTACTGCATACGCACACACACTACTGCATACGTACACACACTACTGCATACGTACACACACTACTGCATACGTACACGCACTACTGCATACGCACACACACTACTGCATACGTACACACACTACTGCATACGCACACACACTACTGCATACGCACACGCACTACTGCATACGTACACGCACTACTGCATACGTACACGCACTACTGCATACGTACACGCACTACTGCATACGTACACGCACTACTGCATACGTACACACACTACTGCATACGCACACACACTACTGCATACGTACACACACTACTGCATACGCACACGCACTACTGCATACGCACACACACTACTGCATACGTACACACACTTTACACATTTAGTTTATGACTTTATTAATATGGGAAATATATTTGGCAGGCTTCACATGAACAACTATCTGTGTGTTTCAGAGGAGGAGGTAGACATGTGTGTACGTGACCAGGCCCTGCTGTACTACCGGCTGTTGCATTGTGGGATTGAGGAGGTCCGTCGGGTCCTCCAGGGTGGACGGCGGTCAGACCCCTCTCTGGGGCCTCTGATTGGACGGCCCCCTGAGCCCATCAGCCAATGGGCATCCAGGTTCAATACCCTGGAGCCTCTAACCCTCAGAGCCTCTACCGTGGGGAACTCTGACCCCGCGACCCCCAACCCCTCCACCCTGACCTCTAACCCTGAACCCATGACCTCTACGCCAGGAGACCCCCACCTCCCAGGTGATAATCTGTCTGCTTCGGCTGCTGGGAAGAACATGTTTTGACATCCACCACCTGCTCAGAGACCACGGATGTGCGTATGTCATGTTTTCCTAAACATCTCTCGTCCTCCCCCTTCTCCAGACTGCAGTAGTGGAGCTCTGAGTCTGTCTGTGTCTCCAGCTCTGAGCCCTGAGGAGTTTGAACGCCTGTGGCTGCAGCTGGAGAAGGGGGCGTGTCTGGAGGTGAGTGTGTGTGTGTGTGTGTAGAGGAATTTGCGTAAAAGAGGAAATTAGAACAATTGTATGATACAAAAGCTAATATCGGCCAACACTCACTTGGTATCGCTGCAACATGTCCTGCTAGTGATACACACAGAGAAACAGGAAGTTTCATCACCTGTCAGTGTTAGTATTACACACTGGGGGTGCCAGTTGGTTTCTGGGTCTGTTTTCTCTAGGTGTTTGTCACAGTGTGTGTCGTGTTAATGACTATTTGTTTATTTGTTGTTGTTTTCTAGGTGTGTGTGGCGTGTCCTGTTCCCCGCTGTTCCCCGGAGAGCCTGCAGGTGGCACTACGGCTGGTCAACATCCAGACGCTGGCCTTCACCCCCCCAAACACACACCCCTGGAGGGTGTACCTCTACACACACGCCTCACACACACACACCTCACACACACACACCTCACACACACACACCTCACACACACACACCTCACACACACACGCCTCACACCTCTCTACAACGCCACCACACACACTTATACTGGCAGAACTACTACACACTGGAGGAGAAGGAGAGGGAGAGGGGGAGAAAGAGGGGGAGGGAGAGAAAGAGGGGGAGAGAGAGAGAGGGGGGGACAAAGAGGGGGAGGAAGAGGGGGAGGGAGAGAAAGAGAAAGAGGGGGAGAGAGAGGGGGAGGGAGAAGGAGAGGGGGAGGGAGAGGGGGAGGGGGAGAAAGAGGGGGAGGGAGAGGGAGAGAGAGAGGGGGAGGGAGGCATGATGGTGATGATGAGACAGCATCCAGGAGACCAGACAGCTCTGAGAGGATTCCTGTCTGTTCTGACTACTGTTCTACACACACTGTCCCCACACACAGCCTGAACACACACACACTGTCCCCACACACACACTGTCCCCACACACAGCCTGTCCCCACACACACACTGTCCCCACACAGCCTGTCCCCACACACAGCCTGAACACACACACACTGTCCCCACACACACACTGTCCCCACACACAGCCTGTCCCCACACACAGCCTGAACACACACACACACTGTCCCCACACACAGCCTGAACACACACACACTGTCCCCACACACAGCCTGTCCCCACACACAGCCTGTCCCCACACAGCCTGTCCCCACACACAGCCTGTCCCCACACAGCCTGTCCCCACACAGCCTGTCCCCACACACAGCCTGTCCCCACACACAGCCTGTCCCCACACAGCCTGTCCCCACACAGCCTGTCCCCACACAGCCTGTCCCCACACAGCCTGTCCCCACACACAGCCTCAACACACACAGCCTGTCCCCACACACAGCCTCAACACACACAGCCTGTCCCCACACAGCCTGTCCCCACACAGCCTGAACACACACAGCCTGTCCCCACACAGCCTGTCCCCACACACAGCCTGTCCCCACACAGCCTGTCCCCACACACAGCCTGAACACACACAGCCTGAACACACACAGCCTCAACACACAACATTGATGTGGTTCTTGTAAAAACAATAAAAATTATGGAATTGGATACACTCTTTGGGTGTGTGTGTGGGCTATTTGTTTGTGTGTGTAGTAACTGTTTACCATGCCATATGCCAGGGATCATCAACGATATTTAGCCGTGGGCCACCAGTTGGGAAACCCTGTCATAGAGCAGGCTGAAGCTGTCAGACAGACCAGTTCACTCAACTCTGACTAGAGAAGGTCTATAGAGACAACTATTTACACAGGAGTTGGTCAGACTAGAGAAGGTCTATAGAGACAACTATTTACACAGGAGTTGGTCAGACTAGAGAAGGTCTATAGAGACAACTATTTACACAGGAAGTGGTCAGACAGGAAGTGGTCAGACAGGGGGTCAGACAGGAAGTGGTCAGCTAGCCTGAAATCAAGAACCTGTTTCTCCTAACATTCCAATCCTTTTTCTCTGTAATTGCTAAAGTGGCTATAAGTCAGAAACAGACGGGTACCCAGGCTATAAGTCAGAAACAGACTGGTACCCAGGCTATAGGTCAGAAACAGACTGGTACCCAGGCTATAGGTCAGAAACAGACTGGTACCCAGGCTATAGGTCAGTAACAGACTGGTACCCAGGCTATAGGTCAGAAACAGACTGGTACCCAGGCTATAGATCAGAAACAGACTGGTACCCAGGCTATAGGTCAGAAACAGACTGGTACCCAGGCTATAGGTCAGAAACAGACTGGTAACCAGGCTATAGGTCAGAAACAGACTGGTACCCAGGCTATAGGTCAGAAACAGACTGGTACCCAGGCTATAGATCAGAAACAGACTGGTACCCAGGCTATAGATCAGAAATAGACTGGTACCCAGGCTATAGGTCAGAAACAGACTGGTACCCAGGCTATAGGTCAGCCTATTGGACAGCTGTCAGTTGGGTAGGGCAGTTGCCATTCCCTAGCTCAATACCAAACATGTAAAAGTAGGCTACAACAAAGTAGACTAAAATCATTCCATTCCCGATTTAAAATGCAATGGCTGTTTAGCGTATTGATCTATTGGCTGGCTTTAGGACCATTCGGAGCATCGTTTGGAGAGAAGCTGCCTGCCTACCTTTCAGAGACTATGGGAGAATCTCAATTGCATTCTCCTCGCCTCCTTCTCAAAACCAATCGGATGAGAAAGCCAAAGGTCCTTCCCCTCTAACCTTCTCCTCCAATGGGTTTTGAGAAGGAGGCGAGGAGAATGCAATTGAGATTCTCCCAGTGCCAGTTGTTTAGGCAGTGCGCCGATTGATGTCGGCATTTGAATTCGGCCTTGTAAACCTTGCAGCCAGCTGTTTTATGCACTGGTTACTTTCACATTGATGCCGGCAAAGGCGGCCTAAATTAACTAGGGCTACATAATTACTCGTGCTTATACAGAAACAAATCTAATCATTCACAATACTACACCAGAGACCATGATTTGGCCACAGGCCCACAGAGGATCATTAGCTTCTTTTCAAAATTAGCTGTGGATTGTTTTAAGCGTGCAATTTGGTCAGCGCTCTGGGCAGATAGCCTATCAAATAGCTGATTGTTGAGTTGCCGGGGTCAGTGAAAATTAGTTAAATAGGCCTATCACAATATTTCAAAATACAATCGTAGGTAAAACATAGTTTAGAATGCAAATGGCTGTTGCTGGAAAGAGAAGACAAAGAAAAGATGAATCTGTCTCTAGTTCTCAACTCCCAGTTGAGTGAACAGTAACCAGCGGAGCGCATCGGCCATATCCTGGTGACTCATATTCACTGTCTTTATCATTGGATCAGTCCACTGGAACGTTTTTTGGGGGACAATAATTCCCTCCTCCAGGCTAGATGGACGTCATGTTGTGGAATTAGTGTTGCTTATGTCTCCAAGTCATATTAAGTGTATTAGAATTACATGACGTGTTTATATAAGACCAATATTTTCCTGTGAAATGAAAGAGGAACATACTACTCTGTCATTACGGGCTCAGGCATGTTCAGAACCATCATTTCTGCGTCATTACGTGCTCAGGCATGTTCAGAACCGTCATTTCTGCGTCATTACGTGCTCAGGCATGTTCAGAACCGTCATTTCTGCGTCATTACGTGCTCAGGCATGTTCAGAACCGTCATTTCTGCTTACAGTGATTGAGGTATATTATTAGTCTAAATTATGACTCATCACATTAGGAATACTAGCCTATCTTACATTAGTCTGCAAATGCGATGATAGATGCATGCTTCCCCAAACGTGAAACTCATGAGCCGCCTATGGATGTCGGCATTTGAAGTCGGACTTGATAGCATGTGTTATGCATCTGTTTCATGTTGCACTGTAAATAAGTCCATTTATGATGAGGTTGAGTTGACATCGTACATGCTGTTCTGCAGACTTTTAAATCTGATATTGCGGTGACAACTAATGGCTGGGGTAATTTTTGTTTGTTTTTGTTGTTCTCCAAATATCATTTTAGAGTTTTTAAATTGTGTAGAAAAGCAGTAATTCAACCTGGCAGCCTGGGTACATGCCGTTCGGCAGACTTTTAAATCTGGCTAGCTGGCTTTAGCCTGGCTAAAAACATAGCAAGCTAGCTAGCCGTTTTAGCGCCCCACATCTCCATGTGAAATGATCAGATATATCATTTTAAAAAAAGTCCATGACAAATATTAGTCTACTTGCCGGTGTAACCTAAAACATCCCAGTTTGTTATGTTGCTTGTGTATTCATTCCCATATCAGCTAAAAATAGAAAATCATGTTATGATCATGGAGAAAAAAAAGCACATGGATAGCTAGTTGGCTACAGCAGGTTTTACCATTTCACAACAGCCTGTAATCACTAGTTATTACTTCTAAACTAAATACCTTTTTGGGTGGATTGTTGTTGTTTGGTTTACTGTTTGAATGGTCACTGAGATTATATTTGGTTATCAATGCAAAATAGGCTACTTCGATAAATAGCCTATAGATCAGATCAAGGAACCAGGCGACAACACCGCCCCTACGGCTGCGCAAGGAATGATGATGCAGCGTGTCAGTTTTCAGGTAGTAAAAAACTATGTAGAATGCCGGAGCGTTTTACAAGGAGCCACCCCTTCTGTGATGAAAAACGACATTGCAACACTCCGAATCTTGCGTCTGTGTAGAGCTTGTAGTAAGCTTTAGCTGAGGAACACTCAACTCTGATCTCTTATATCGAGGTGGAGAAGAGTATTGATAACTGGTCAGAGAAGGGTCTGAATGCAGCAAGTGTCCAAGGAGCGTCACTGACGATCCTCTCCTTTCTTTTTCATTGTAGTACCGCGAACTACCCCATACGGTAGGTGGTGGCAATACACCTTATAGGTTGGAGTCTGCCAATAAACCTCAACGAAGAAAAACCAGTATATCTGCTTCAGAGCCTTTGAAAGCCTTTGTGCTAAACACATCTACTACCTGACTCCAGTGATCAGAAGGTAAAGTTTGGTTAGATAATTGATGTTGACCTGTTTAAAGGTCTTACTCACATCGGCGAGCGTGATCACACAGTCGTCCGGAACAGCTGGTGCTCTCATGCATGCTTCAGTGTTGCTTGCCTCAAAGTGCGCATAGAAGTAATTTAGCTCGTCTGGTAGGCTTGTGTCACTGGGCAGCTCGCGGCTGGGCTTCCCTTTGTAGTCCGTAATAGTTTGCAAGCCCTGCCACATCCGACGAGCGTCAGAGCCGGTGTAGGACGATTCAATCTTAGTCCTGTATTGACTCTTTGCCTGTTTGATGGTTTGTCGGAGGGAATAGCGGGATTTCTTATAAGCGTCCGGGTTAGAGTCCCGCTCCTTGAAAGCGGCAGCTCTACCCTTTAGCTCAGTGTGGATGTTGCCTGTAATCCATGGCTTCTTGTTGGGGTATGTACACTACCGTTCAAAAGTTTGGGGTCACTTAGAAATGTCAATTTTTTGTCCATTAAAATAACATCAAATTGTTCAGAAATACAGTGTAGACATTGTTAATGTTGTAAATGGCTATTCTAGCTGGAAACGGCTGATTTTTAATGGAATATCTACATAGGCATACAGACGCCCATTATCAGCAACCATCAGTCCTGTGTCCCAATGGCACGTTGTGTTTGCTAATCCACGTTTATCATTTAAAAAGGCTAATTGATCATTAGAAAACCCTTTTGCAATTATGTTAGCACAGCTGAAAACCCACTCCTCTTTCTATTCTGGTTAGATCCAGTTTGCGCTGTTCTGTGAAGGGAGTAGTACACAGCGTTGTACGAGATCTTCAGTTTCTTGGCAATTTCTCGCAAGGAATAGCCTTCATTTCTCAGAACAAGAATAGACTGACGAGTTTCAGAAGAAAGTTATTTGTTTCTGGCCATTTTGAGCCTGTAATCGAACCCACAATTGCTGATGCTCCAGATACACAACTAGTCTCAAGAAAGGCCAGTTTTATTGCTTCTTTAATCAGCGCAACAGTTTTCAGCTGTGCTAACATAATTGCAAAAGGGTTTTCTAATGATCAATTAGCCTTTTAAAATGATAAACTTGGATTAGCAAACACAACGTGCCATTGGAACACAGGACTGATGGTTGCTGATAATGGGCCTCTGTACGCCTATGTAGATATTCCATTAAAAATCAGCCGTTTCCAGCTACAATAGCCATTTACAACATTAACAATGTCTACACTGTATTTCTGATCAATGTGATGTTATTTTAATGGACAACATTTTTTATTTTTTTTAAAACAAGGACATTTCTAAGTGACCCCAAACTTTTGAACGGTAGTGTACATGTACATATTACCTCAATTACCTTGACTAACCTGTACTCCTGCACATTGACTCAGTACCGGTACCCCCTGTATATAGTCTCGTTATTACCTGGACTAACCTGTATCCCAGCACATTGACTCCTGTACCCAGCCCCTTGATCGGTACCGGTAACCCCTGTATATACCCCGTTTTTTACCTGGACTAACCTGTACCCCACCATTGACTTGTACCGGTACCCCCCTGTATATAGCCTCGTTTTTACCTGGACTAACTGTACCCAGCCCATTGACTCGGTACGGTAACCCTGTATATAGCCTATTTTTACCTGGCTAACCTGTACCCAGCCATTGATCGGTACGGAACCCCTGTATATAGCCCCGTATACCTGATAACTGTACCCAGCCCATTGACTCCAGTACGGTAACCCCCTGTATATAGCTCGTATTACCCTGGACTAACCGATCCCAGC